CCTTAAACCCTCAACCCCTAAACCAATTTAGGGTGGCAAAGGAGCAGACAATTTTAAGGTTTAGAGCTAAGGATGTTGGAGGGATTTTGGGTTTAAGGCTGTCATAGGGCATTATCGGGTGGGTCTAGGGTTTAGGTTTTCATAGGGGGTCTTAGCATGGTTGAGAACTCGAGAATTTGAGAAATTGTGGCGTCAGGGTTTGAAGGTTCATGGTGTCTTGGGTGTCTGGCGGTTTTGTATTAGGCGGTTTGGGTTTCAGAGATGTAGGGCAATGTAAGGCTTACTTAGAGATCAGGGTTCAGGGGTTACAGGCTGTCGTAGGCTTCAAGAAGGTTGATTGTCAGGAGTTGATAAAGCTGTCACCCGAGTTGTATAAGTTTGGTGGTGTACGGCTTCCCAGAAACCCTTTACGAAACCCTATTCTAGTTGCTAGTTTTGAGAGGACCGTGTATTTACACTTACAGCTTGCGGGCCATGGCAGCAGTAAGTATAACTGCTTGGTGTGCAAGGCGATAGCAACAGTTGCTTAGTTGTGGCACGAAGCCAAATCTTGCAACGTAGCAACTCCATACTGTCCCCAAGGGGGTACGTGATTTCGTGAAGCCTGCTCCTACAAAAAGCATGGCCCACTTGCGTACTCCAGGTGACTTGTGAGAATGGACGTTGGTCTGTGTGAGACTCTCAATCATCATTCCTTGGAGTTATCCACGATCAAGAGGCCCCGTCGAGTTTAAAAATTAAACCTGTTCCCGAAAACATCCAAGTGACCAAGTGTAAAGGAAGCGAAGAGCCGCAAATCTTTTCCCAGCACGACGAAAATCTGGACCCTGCACCCATGAGGGTGATAGCTGCTTCTTGGGACAAACTCGCCTGAGAAACAGAGTGGCTCTACACGTTCGGACCGCGCACGAAGTCTAAGCCCCCTAAACCCTACGCACTAAAGCATAAACCCTACATAAACCCTACATCCTGGACGGAAACAGGGCCTTCAAAACAAAGGAACTACACACTAACACCCCACATCTTCAACCCTAAGCCATCAGCCCTAAGCTCGAAAGGCTGACAGAGCCACCATCTCGGGACTTCGGTTTCTTGAAGCTCGGAGTGCGTAAGACTTAGCATAGGGGGTGGCTATAAAGTTCATGCAAGCGTTGATCTACGGGTCTGGCCACTAGTTCAGTGAGGAGTTCAAACCCTAACCCCTAAATCACTGTGTATTACAGAGCGCAGGGCTATAGTAGAGGCCCTGGGCAGCCACGACTTGCAGTGGGGAGGGGCCGAAGCAGAAGGCACACTACAGTATAGCCCCTCAGGCCCAACCCCTAAACCCGATCGTATACCCAAAGATCCCATAATGGAGCCCGCGCTGCACGCTGGAATCTAAAGGAACCCTGAACCCCTCAGACCGATGCCGAGGTTGAGCCAGTATGGCTTCCCGGGTGACGACACTCCCTTCATCCAAGGCCCACCATTTGGGTCGTTTTCTAAAGTCTAAAGTAGGGTCCCTTCCGGGGGCCCTTTTTATAAGGGTGCCG